GCTAAGAGGCTTTATTGTGACGAGGAGACTGATTGTAATCACCAACTGTGATAAGCTGTAAGGGAAAGATACAGATGCTATGAAAGGAGTAATACAGAAAACCTCCTCAGATGGGGTTAGGACAGCTAGGGAGTTGGGAAAGGGGAAGTGCAGGAGTATGCAAAGCACACTCTAGAAGTTCAGCCAATGGGACTCTGCCAGCTGGAACACGGGCCAAGAGAAAAAGGCCTAATTCCTAGGTATTTTGTCTTCCCAGGTTTTTGCTGTTTTTATTTTCACGCTTAAGTAACTATATGATTTAATTTACAGACATGAGACATAATGGAACAACTTCTGAAAGAAAACAAATTTCCATTTAGAGTATGTTAAATCTGAGAAATCTACTAGACTGTCATAATGATACCAACTGGGTAGAGAGTTGCTTGGCAAAGAGGAGACACACAATAATTAATTGAACAGCACAACAAACCAAAGATCGAAATTTAATTTAAAAATGAGTCATCATCACTGGTGACTTTCAAGCCTCCTCGAGAACTAAAGAGCTGTCAGCGCCCACAGAGAACTACTAAAGGGAGATTTTAACTGAATATTATTCAATCAGTGAGATTAATTACATAATCTCTTTATGAAGTGACTACTAAAATCAGGTACTTGTTTTTAGCATTGTATAGCTAACACTTTGATAACAGCAGATGGCTAAACTATTTCTAAGAAAATAACAAACAAAAATACCCTACTACTGTATGTAAAGGTGATCTTCTAAGAATTATAAGGCCTAAAAGTAAACATACATTTGTTTCTTGGTTGAATTAAGAATGTCTAAAAACACTGACTTAATCAAAAGTCTTTTCCTGGACCAGCAAGATGGCTCAGCAGATAATGTGCTTGCCATACCTGCCAATGGCTTGAGTTCCATTCCCGGATGACCCATGTGGAAAGAGACTCTACAAAGTTGCCCTCTTTTTTTTAATTTTTAAAATTATTTTTATTTTATGTGTATGAGTGTATTGCCTGCATGTATGTGAGTGCACCCATGTCCTGCAATGCCGCAGAGGTCAGAAGAGGGCGTCTGATTCCCTGGAACTGGAGTTAGGGACGGTTTGTAGCTGCCATGTGGGTGCTGGGAATTGAACCAGGGTTCTCTGCAAGAGCAGTCAGTGCCCTTAATCGCTGAGCCATCTCTCCAGCCCCTTATTTACTATTATTACTATTTTAAATTTTGTGTATGAGTGTATTGTCTGCATTCGTGTAAGTGCATCTGTGTCGTGCCAATGCCCTGCAGAGGTCAGAAGAGGGTATCGGATCCCCTGAAACTGTTAGTCACCATGTGGGTGCTGGGAATCAAACCCTGGTGCTCTGCAAGAGCAGTCAGTGCTCTTAACTGCTGAGCCATCTCTCCAGCTCCCACAATAATAATAATAAATGAAATATTTTTTTTCTTTTTCCTACAAAAGATCAGCTTTTTATATATCTTCTATATGTAGCACAAAAGGTTATTACACAGCAGTGCAAGTACTTTGGAAGGTGGTGTGTCAGCTGAAAAAGGTTTTGTAAAGAACTTTGGTCAGATGGCTGACACCTGCTCTGTTCCTTATAAGTGACCTCAGCAAGGCAAGACATTAATCTCAGAGATTTTCTTTTTTTTTTTTTTTTTTTTTTTTTGGTGTTTTTGAGACAAGGTCTCCTTGTAGCCCCAGCTAGCCTGGAACTCATTATGTAGACCAGGATGGCCTTGAACTCAAAAGATCCGCCTGCCTCTGCCTCCCAAGTGCTGGGATTAAAGACATGTGCCACGATGCCCAGCCTTAATGTTAGAGATTATTTTTACCAGCAGGATATAAAATAGGTTCCTACCAGAATTACCTGTATCAGTCTTTGGAATAGGGTGCATATGCAACAAGCGTTAAGAAGACCCATGTATTACTTTGCAAAGAAACTGGTACTACCTCAGTTTGGGCTGTTATTTGAAGGCACAATCAAGAGCAAAGTTTTGCAACTTCAGCATAACTGGCATTCGGTGTTGGGTAGTTATGTTGTGGGAACTGTCCTATACATTACAGGATGCTTAGCATCCCTGACCTCTACTCACCAGAGGCCAAGAGCACACAGATCCCTTCTGTACAGGAAGCTAATCATTAATCAGAACCATCAAGAGTAATGCATAATAAAACCGACCATATAGGGGGCTGAAGAGAAGGCTCAGTGGTTAAGACTACTGATTGCTCTTGAGAGGACATGGGTTCAGTTCCCAGTGACCACATAGTGGCTAACAACCATCTGTAACTCCAGTTCCAGAGGATCCAGTGCCCTCTTCTGACCTCTGTGAGCACTGCATGATATGGGTTCACTTATATACATGCAGACAAAACACTCATACACATAAAATAAAAACCAAGGAAAAACCTTTAACCACCCCCTCCCCCTGCCACCATATGTCAACCATATGTCAAGGAGGGAGACCCTCTAAGGATTCGGGGTAGCCAGATTGCAATTAAAATCAATGAGCTCCACCTTTGGCATTACATACCCTCTCATAGTTCCTTCCTACAGTGTCACAATATCGGAGGGCTATGTGGCTTCCAAGGTCAGATCATAAAATAGTCTCTATCTTGCACTCTCAGAACACCACTCTGAGGGAAAGCAGCAGCCATGCATGACAATACTCAAGCCCTGAAGAGGCTCAGATGCTAAGGACAGGCCTTTCATCAACAGCTGATTGGAACTGGAACTTTTTATCAAAAACTGCCTGCATACGCCTGGAAGAAGACCCTCTACCCTCAGTCAGGTCCTCATGTGACAGCTCTAAGCAACAATGTCTTAATGACAGACTCTCAGGAGACCCTGAGCCAGAACCACCCAGCTGACCTATGACTGAATTTCCAACACCCAGAAATTGTGAGATAATAATGTTTTCACCAGTGTGTTCTAAAGTCATTTGCTATAAGCAACAGATAACATTTCTCTTCTAAACACAGAAAGGAGTGGAAAGGCGCCCTAGCAGGGGGATAAATCCTTATCTTTTAGTAACAACATCATTATTTACCACCAAAGGACACAAATAATGGCTTAGTAGCAATCTCTTTCCCATGCAAAAATAAGACTACTGTGCACCACACAGTTCTCCTGAATTGTGTGGTTGGGAGAAGAGAGTCAGAAAAGATGGGTAACTTGAATTATGTGGTCAAAGAAAGGATTTTCCATGAAGCAGTACTTGAAAATCTTTATGGAGAATCACATACCAGAGCTGGCAACTCACTGCTTTTCCCATCCCATGATACAGGCCACTAAACACAGGGCTTTTCAGCAGTAAGAATTTAAGATTCAATCGTAGCTCAGACGCAATGGGGATAATCCAGAGAGAGACAGGAACTCCGGCTTAGTCTCTTTGGACCCTTTCTAAATCCAGGCACAGGTAGGCCTCCTACCAACATGGCATCCTTACTCAGCTTTGTACAAACAAGATTAAAATGATTACTAAATGGACTTTGTGTTAAGTTAGCCTTCAAATGCTATCTTACCAGGAGTAAACAATATTCTAAGTAAACAGATCGCTCTTTCCTACACAGTGTGAAAAGCCTGTTACATTCCACTCTCTGAGGATGAGACAGACTAACATATGGCACTGGGGGACACTGTTCAAAGTCCTGACCCTAGTACTTCAGGATGTCATAGAGGAAGGTCTTTAAAGGTCTTTTTTTTTCTTTTTTTAATTTATTATTTTTATTTCATGTGTATGCGTGTATTGCCTGCATGTAGGTAAGTGTACCCGTGCCTTGCAATGCCTGAAGAGGTCAGAAGAGGCTGTCAGATCCCCTATGACTGGAGTTACAGACAGTTGTTAGCTGCCATGTGGGTGCTGGGATTCGAACCCAGGTCTTCTGCAAAAACAGTTAGTGTTCTTAACTGCTGAGCCATCTCTCCAGCCCCGGTCTTTAAAGTTAAAATAACATCATTACAATGGGCCCTAATCCAATAGACAGGTGTCCTCATAAGAAAAGATTGGGACACAGCCAGACATAGAGGCAAGACCACATGAAAACACAGGGAAAAGAAGGCCAGTAACAAGATGTGAGGCCTTAGAAGAAAAAATAAAACAAAAAACCTATCGATGCCTTGATTTCAACCTCTAGCCTTCAGATTTTGGGGAAATACATTTCTATTGTCTACCCTACCCAGCTGGAGGCTCTTTATATGTTATGGCACCTTAGAAAATAATGCACAGGGTTTTCCAAACACTTGTGTTTACTAGGCCTTTGCAACAATTGAACCTGGTCCCTTTCAGGAGTCATGAAAACCATGCCACCAGGATATTTGCATGAAATCCATGACTTTACACACCCTGTTTTATAAAGCAGAATACAATACCATATTCTCCTAAATTTCACCAAGGAACAGTTAGAATTGAAGTCTCTCTTATCCTGCCCTTCTTGACTTTCATGAATAAAACAGAAGGAGAAGGAAAAACAAGTCAATCTGAACAAATTAAGAAGAAATAACTGAACATTAAAGTTTATGGATAATACAGTAAAATCCTCAGCTAGCCAAACTGAGTGGGGAAGAAAAGCTTTCAAGGAATTAAAGTATTTGAATAGTTAAGAAAAATAGAATTAATACTAGCAGGAAAGTATTAGGATGCCCATATCCCAGAGGAAAAGGAAATCTGAAAAGAACAATTTATTACATCTAAACCAATTTCATTATTATACTTATTATGCTAAGCACAACAGGAATACCACTTAACATCTATGTCAATCCATAACAGAATCGTCACCAAAGGTATAGCAATTCAGAGTGATTAGGTAATTATGTATCCATAGTCTTAAAAATGTATGTAATAAAATGCAGCTAGAATTACTTTCACACGTGATTGCTAGAAAAATTTACACTTATTAATTAGTCTTTTCTTAAATTCTATGAAGGAAATCAATTCATTTGCTTAAGTCATAGTAGACATTTAATTAGAACTGAGGAAGGAAAGTTTCTGGTGCTTTTAAACTTACAAAACGAGATGAATTATCATTTTTCACAGTCTTCGCATTTCCAAATGATTCCAGAATTGGATTTGCTTGTAAAAGCTGCCGTTCAAGTTCCCCCTAAAAGACATTACACACAAATATACACATACACACACATAAATAAGAACAGATGTATGTTAATCTCATGTCTTGACTGCAGACTTTGGGGATAAAAAAAACAAAAAACAAAACCACCCCTCTTCCTGAGTGCTTTCATTCTGTTGCCATCCAGTGACTTCTGCTGGGTCCTTGTTCCTGGTTATGAGAATAGGTTCTGCTAAAAGAAAAAAAAAAAATCCAGCATCTAGAGAGGGCTCACGGGACAAAAATATGTCACGGTGAACAGAGAGCAACTTCAGCTAGGCAGAAAAATGTGAAAGTAAAACATACCAAATGGTTTCCATAAAATAAAATTTAGTGTGACACTTCAATGAAGAACTTATTACTACTTCTGTTCATTTTTACTCTGCCTTATGTGAAAGAATGAAAATGGCTAATTTAATCATTTCCACTGTACTGGTATGTATTTCCATCTACCCGAGGGCTTTCACGGAGTGCCTCAATAGTGTAGACGGGACCCTCGTCTCACTTCTACTTTCAGAGGACAGAAAAAAGATGGCAAGGCACTCACTTGTTCAGATTCAAAACACTAATAAACACAGCACATTTAGCATAAGGTACACTTTAGTCATTTTATTTATATGCAAATTAGGCTACAAAACAGACTTTACCAACAAGAAGTGCAAGTATATGAAACCTAACAAAGCTGCACGGAAAGCAAGGTGCCATGTCTGCCCAAGAAAACTAGAAAGGGATGTTGTTTTTCTAGAATGCAATTTCAGAATTATCTTTTTTTTAAAAAAATATTTATTATTTTTATTTTATGTGTATGCGTATTGCCTGCAGCCTGGTCTACATAGTGAGTTCCAGGACAGCTGGGGCTACAGGGAGATCCTGTCTCAGAAAGACCAAAAAAAATTTTTTTATTTATTATTTTTATTTATGTGTGTGCATGTATTGCCTGCATGAAGGTAAGTGCACCCATATCATGCAATGCCCTCGGAAGACAGAAGAGGCTGTTGGATCCCCTGGAACTGGAGTTACGGACAGTTGTTAGCTGCCATGTGGACGCTGGAATTTGAACCCAGGTCTTCTGCAAAAACAGTGTTCTTAATCACTGAGCCATCCTCCTGCCCCTCGGAATTATCTTTTATGACCTAAATAAATCCATTTTTTTTCCCCAAACACAGATCTCACCCCTCCACTTTAAATTGACCACAATATTGTACATCCAAAGAAAATGGAAAGCACCAAGCAAATGTGATTCTCTAAGCAAAAAAGATGAAATATAAAGAAGCTCATGTAAGATTTTTAAATTAGGGGTCATCAAGTGATGCATGGGGGCCACTATCAAATACCAAAACAGGAACAAACACACCATGGTATTGCGCCCCTCCTCATGGATCTGAAGAGAAGATCTCAGTTTCAGCACTTCCTCAGTGAGGAGTTCGAGCTGGAAGGGCAGGACAGTGTTCCTGGGGCACCCATTTAATAAGGGGCCATGATCCTGATGCTTCTGTATGGACTGCCCAGATTCTCACAGGTTTTAACCACAGTCTACGACTGTGTTCAACTGAACACAGTCAAGAACTAGCCCTGTCACTTGGCTTCATTACCTACCACTTCACCTTCTGGATATGAGATAACCTCTCTGTACAGTGAATCTTACAGTTTACTGCTTCCAAACTCATCAATTTTAAAAAATTTATTTTTATTTTATGTGTGTATTATGCCTGCATGTATGAAAGTACACTGTGTTGTGCAATGCCTGTGGAGGTCAAAAGAGGGCATTGAATATCCTGGAACTGGAGTTATGGTAGGCTGTTAGCCTCCACGTGGGTCCTCTGCAAGAGCAGCCAGTGCTCTTAACCACTGAGCCATCTCTCCAGCCCACACAGGCTATCTTTAATGTAAATCTCTATACTATATGCTACCAAATTTCTTATAGATGGTTGGTATCCTGAACCAACATTTTTGATTGTTGAGACCTATCATCACTAATATCTGTTATGGGGTGGGGATATAGCTCAGCGGTTCACTTATGCCTAGCATGCACAACGTCATGGGTTCGGTCCCCAAAACTACAAAGAAAAAAAGGGAAGTTACGTATGTTACCATTCTGTCACAGAACAGACTGCCTTTTCCCTCAAGATCAGTCATCATTTCTATCAGTATGCCTGTGGTTGACATCTTGCAAAGCCTGACGGCATCAGTTGTTTGAGCCTCTAAAGGTCCCTTCTCTCCTTTTTCCCACAATTCAATTTGTGGGGTCGGAATGCAGAAATTGTCAGGAAAACAGTGATGCGCTGGTAAGTGGAGCATTAGATACCTACTGTTGGATCAGGATCGTAGAATACAGATCCTTAAAATGGCATACCATCCTGCCAAATTGTAATTAGAAGATTCATAATTTGCTAGACATGGTGGCACATAATCTCTGCACTCAGGAGACAGAGGTAGGTGGATCTCTGTGATATCCAAGCCAATCTGGTCTACAAATCAAGTTCTAGGCCAGCTGGGACTACTAGGGAAATCATGTCTCAAAAAATAAAAATAAAAAACTCCTATCTTAACTATCTTAAGGTGTTTTCCTAACTTGGAAGTAAAACATATAAACCATTCCTGGTTTCATGTTTCATGTCCCTAGGCATGGCTACAGGGGTTCTTTGGGTCATATTTATTTCATTCTTTTATATTTTGCTCAGTCAGTATAAGGTTAAAAATTGTGCCATGCAAATGTTTGAATGAATCAGAGGTCCTAAAACAGTCTAGTAGTGTTTGGGGAAGAGGATGGATGGTGGGGAGTTAAACGTAGCTTGAAGATATGGACTGAGGGTCTTCAAAGTCACCATAGCAGACTGGCACTCCTGTGTCCCTTCTGCTGGCTTTACTATACTAAAGGTGTCATAGGATTATGTCTTTCTTAATATATCTTGAGTCCTCAATGAGATCAAGTAAAGATCTCATACAGAGCTAATATCCTAAAACCTACAATCAGGGACTTACTATAATTTAGATCACATTTCTGGTGGGTGGGTAATTTCTTTTGTTTTTTTAAAGATTTATTTATTCTATTTTATGTGTATGAATGCTTTACCTGCATGCATGTATATGTACCATGTGTGTGTAGGCGCCCATGAAGGTCAGAAGAGGATGTTGAATCTCTTGGAACTGGAGTTACAGGCAGTTGTTAGCTGCCATGTAGGTGCTAAGAACTGAACTGAGGTCTTCTGGAAGAGCAACCAGTGCTCCTTAGCTGAGCCTGCTCTCCAGCCATTTCTGGGGGGTAATTTCTTAACTAGATAAATGGTGCTTCTATCTCTTGCCTGAATTATGAAGGCATTAATGACAATTAGGGAAGATGGGCGTGGTGGTGCCCTCCTGAGGCAGAGGCAGGTGGTTCTCTGTGAGTTCAAGGTCAGCCTGGTCTACATAGTGAGTTCCAGGCCAGCTGTGGCTATAGGGAGATCCTGTCTCAAAAAATAAAAAATAAAAAAATAAAAAAAACCAGGGAACAATGCCTACTCACATTCCCACTAGAACTGGATAGGCAAATGTCCATTTTTCTATTCTACATGATAACAAAAAATGTTCTCCAGGAACATGAGAAAACAACATAACTCAAATCATTTATAAAATCCTAAGTATTTAGAGTTATATATTGCTTTAAAGGTCTGCCATCGTAGTGAAAACTGTATTATTTTATTTATTATATAGTATACAATGGACCAACCAGTCTTGCATGGTATGAATTTAAAATGATTAAGTAATAGTGCTCTCAAAACTCCAGGCCGAGTGTCACAGGGTTAGGATCCTGCTGCACTTTGCAGGGAAAGCATGAGTGCCCACAGACCACCGGGAAAGCAAGGGCAGGAGGCCAAACAACCACATGGAAAACCAGACCAATTTCAAACAGCAGGCTCTAGCTTCTGCCCCTGCTTTGTCACCTGTCGTGGCTCAAAGCAGTTTAAACTGGGCTAAGGAAGGACACACAGCCATCATTTTCAAAATGATTAAGTTTTAAAGGTAAACATAAAAGACTGACCATACCAATTGGAAGATTATACTGAAAAGGCAGACAGTGCCCTATCAGTGGAGAACAGGAACTCTCATGTACTGCTCTCCTGGAAAATGGTACAGTCTTCTTAAAATCAGTTTAGGCAACTCCTACAAATATTAAAGTTTTCATAAAACCCAGCAATTCCATTTTTAGGTATGCATTCAAGAAAAATGAAAACATTTGTTCCTATAAAAATAGGTGCCTAAATGTGCATAGCAGCAAAAATTATATAGGCCGGGACTGGAAGCAACTCAAACATCTATCAATTGATGAGTGGGTAAACAAAAAGGGACATAGTTAATATAATGAAATATTATTAAGCCACAAAAAGGAATGTTGTCCATGACACGATGCAGAAGGAACCCTGAAAGCCTCCTAAGTGAAAGAACAGAAACGGTTCCCATCTATACGCAATGTCCAGAACAGGTCAAATATCATAGGAAACAGAAAGTGGAGTGGTGGTTGCCAGGACTGGAAGAAAATGGGAGGAGACTGCTAATGGACACAGGGAAAAGTTCTTTTGGAGAGATGAAAATGTCCTAAACTTGCAATGACACTAAATTGTGTAATTCTGTGAATATACTGAAAACACTGAATGGTAAGTGGGCAAACTATATAGTGTAAGAATTATATTGCACCAGGCATGGTGGTGCACACCTGTAGTCCCAGCACTTGGGAGGCAGAGGCAGGCAGATCTCTGTGAGTTCAAGGCCAGCCTGGTCTACATAGTGAGTTCCAGGACAGCTGGGGCTACA